ATTTTCTATCATCATCACCAGACTTGAATCCATTTATCATTTCAATTCTGATATATGACATTTTACTAAAGATACTTGACATTAAAAAAAAAAAGCTGCATGTACACTGAGGGTTTTGGAATTAAAAAAATAAAAATCTATTACTGGCATAAAATCTGAGTATTTGGATTTTATAATTTAAAAAAGCAAAGTCTAACATAACTCCAAACACTAGCCAAATCAGAACTGGCCAAGCACAAGAACACTGTACACTATATTTTATAGGATGTTTTTGTGTACAAGAATGACTATAGAATTAAGTTATCTTATTTCTGGCAGTTTTCTCCCATAAAGAGTAACAGTCACTGCTAAAAGAGATGCTTGCAAACTTACCAGAAATAATTTTTTGACAATATTCTAGTCTTCAAACGGTGGCTGTCAAGTTCTTACTGAAGAATCTACAGTGTTAATCAATGTACTGTATTTCATTTGTAGTAAGTCTTTGCGATAAGGTTAGCACTCAACATACAACACAAGTAAGAGAGGACCGAAAAATGAAAATTACTTTGCTTATGTTTCTGTATTAGAATTTTATTTGCTGAAGGGTAAAAGCAGATTTGCAAAATTCACAGTTAACTTAAAACAATAGTTTTAAACCTTTTATTCCGAGCCCTTACTGCCTTCAGGAAGGAAAGAACATCTGGTTATTTAAGGAACACAATATGTTCACATTCTCTATGACTTTTGTTTCTAATTGGGTTTTTAATTTTTTTTTGGAATTTGAACAACTAGTTAGAACAATGTTTTTTAATCCCTTCATATTTTTCAGACTGCCCTCCCTCCATCCCTCCACTTCATTTAGTGGATTGTTTTTGGAAATCTGCTCAGTGATTCTAATATAACAAAAGACAGGGAAACAAGCATGGAGACTGTGGTCTGAAGAGCTACGCATAGAAACCATATTGGAAGGTGAGCAGAGGAGAGAACGTTACAGATCTCTGATATCCAGTCTCTTCACACGTTTAAAAACACTTCAAGTGGTTCCTGGGTCACTTTACAAACAGGTCAGTTTCACTTACTACAGATGCAAACAATACCTACTACTATAAATAAAAGAATCTATAGGAGAAGTCTCAGTAACTAAGGTTCTACCATCTTTAAAACTAACACAAGCTACATCCCTCAGGCGGGAAGGAGGCTGAAGACCTGGCTTCTGCCCCCGACCTGCCCTGATGGGCTGTGTGGCCTTGCGTGCGCCTCTCAGCTCCGCTCTGACCGTCAGCGTGCTCGCCCGCAGGAGGAGGAGGGGCGCCAGGCTCTGGAATTCTCACAGTCTAAGTGAAGTACGCTAACTGGATTCTTTGTTGTGTCTGCTTTGTTCCATGGTATTTGAGGGTAGTAACAGGTTTTAAATAATTCTGTCTGATAGCAAACTAAGGAACTAGATGTCCTTTAAGTTCAAACTCGAGGGTCTCTTCACCATCTTGATAAAAATGGCAGCTGACAAATAATCCACTGACCATGGTTTCTGTGGAATGTGGATACGGCGAAGCGAGGTGAAAACAGGTGAGGTGAGTGAGATCCACCCAGATTAGAGTCAGTATTCAATTTACTATTGTTGTCTTAAGAGCAACCAGTGCAGGACACAAGGCTAAAGCTGTGAAATGAGAGGATCATGAGGGGAGATAGCTGGTAAAAGAGGCAAGCAAGTCGCTAACCTGTGATTTAGTGATTAAGCAAATCGCTAAACTAAGGTGCTGAGGGGACTCGGAGGGAAAACACCTGCTCGTCTGAGCCTGAAACGGCTTCCTGGAGAAGGGAGAGCAGACGCTGGGACTCTCAGGAGCGGGTGAGCAGAAGCAGGGCCTGGAACCTTTCTAGCTGGTCTGGATGCACGCATGCAGCTTGGCCTGGGGAAAGCCACATGGCCTTGATCCTTTGCACTGAAAAAGGAAGAGGAGAGAGAGCCCACTCTGCCCGTCTCGGAGCCTGGAGTGATGACCAAACCAAGCAAGGCAGAGGGCGTGGAGACGGGGAGTGTGAGCCTGTGACCAGTTTACAGGCCCATCACCGCAGTCTGCTCCGCTGAGCGGCAGTTGCCCAGCAAGGCCTACATCTGATGGCAAACGAGTAACAGCCCAGTGCCTCGAGCTCTCCTACAGTCTGTCCTCATCTGAGCAGGCTCCACTGGGACTGAGAGCTGGCGGGGGGTGAAGCGCTGCTCTGCAGGCTGACGATGAACTAGGGAGGCCCAGAGCCTCGTTCACTTCCATCTTACTGTGTCTGTCAGCAGCCCTAAGCACAGCTGCCTGGTGAAGCTGGGACATGGGAAAGCAAACGCCCAGGCTTCAAATCTCCGCTTTCTACTAGTTTACAGAGATCTGCCTGTGTGTATGCACTCAATATGATTTAAGTGTTTCACTGCTGCCAGCACACAGGAAACACTTAAAGCACTCTGATGGCTGGATCTTCAGAGGATGGGGTGGGGTCCTAGCAACACCTTTTCCTTCCTCTCTATCCCCTCCCAGTGTCCACGGCCTCCTCTATGAGTTCAGAATTGACATGAACCACATATCCGCTTGGGGAGTTTTAGAATATGCGTGTAAACTTTTCTTCCCCCCGCTTGTGTGTTCGATCTTATTGTATCATTAGAAGTCAGTTCTTTATGGTCAAAGGTTGCTCTGCTTGGGTGGGCTATCAGAGGCAAAGTAATTCAACACAAGAGACGACCAAGACTTAGGAAGCGTGGATTTCACCAGATGACAGGATGTTTGGTGGGAGAGTCAAGACTTGAACCAGTGTCTGGATTTCTAGCTCAGGCTCCTGGGTAGACCCAGAACCCCTCACTGCGACAGACCTCCAGTTGGCACTACTGCCGAGTAATGTTAGTTACATTTGACATTTACTAACAAAGTCAGTGGGTCAGCATTACAAACACTTTACTAAACTCCCGCCTCGCTGAGATGGCTATCTGAAACCACCTTAAAATGCTGCAGCTGTCTTTATTTTCCCTTACAGATGTCACCATGCCATGACCTTGTTCTCAAAAGCTTTTTAAACGTGACTCCTGCCTTCTGCCCAGGTTCTCAAGTCTCAGAAATACCAGTTTAAGGTCCTAACTTTTGGACACTTACCTTAATTGTTTTCACTTGGTAAGACCCTGAAGGTAAAAGTGAGCAATACTGTTTTTTAGATCCCTTTTATGCTATTGTTTTTCTTTTTTTCCTCTTAAACCTTAGAGAAGAATTTAATGCTTGTAGAAGCGGTTTCATTATTTTCTCTCTCCCCTCCTCTCTCTATGTGTGTACACACACACACACACACACACACACACACACACACACCCTTCTTTTCTAAATGTGTATTTATTTGCTTGGCTGCTCCAGGCCTTAGCTGCGGCATGCAGGGTCTAGCTCCCTGAGCAGGGATTGAGCCCGAGCACCCTGCATCGGGAGTGCAGTCTTATACACTGGACCAAAGGGGAAATCCCTCTACCACCTTCCTGAGACCGAAAGCATTCTAAAATCACATATTCTGCTAATAACACTGATGAATTTAGTATCAGAATTCTGCAACTATAAGCGCAAATGGTTTATAGGAAGGACAACCGTATTTAGCTAGGAAAAAACTCAACAAGATGGATGGTTTACATAACAGATTCATTTCTCCTTTCAATTAAACCAAACAAATCACACAAATGGATAATTCAAATGGCTATTTTAGCAATTTCTTCCCACTCTGAGTGACTCTAATAATTTCCAGTGTTGAGCAGATAGAATTTACCATAAGTCTGTAGATCAAAACTCAGATACCTCATTGACCAGCAACTTCATTCTTTACTCCTTTTATAGATATGCCACTAATCTTGGCTATTTCATATTAAAATAATATACTTCTACAGCGTACATACACATAAAAAATATGGGACTATGTTTTTCATAGTCTGACTCCTAAACCTTACCAGAAAAAAGATAAGCTACCTTATGTATCAGAGAAACGATGGATTATGTTTCTGATACATAATGAAATTCTGTGCAGGAGAAATGATACAAAAATTGTGCATTTCTAAGAAAATGGATATAGGCACAAGGAAAAACAATAATTTAAAATCAAGCAAAAAATAAATATAAGATATGCTCAAAGGTGGACGTCAACAACTGAGGCAAGGACAGAAATCTCTCAGAATCAGAATCACGTTGGACTTGGAGGTCCACGTCGATCAGACAGAACGCTGGCAGTGGACCCACAGACAGACAGACTCAGAGACAGTTCCACCACAGCCAGCACGACTGCAGGGGGCCCTGCCAGAGAGCCAAGGGTGGGGTTTCTCTCTCAGGCTCCATCCAGTATTTTTGTTTGGCTCTGAAGCATCAAGGATTCACAGATTTTTTTTTTTTAGATCACTTAATGTTCTTATTTTCAAGAAATATAACATTAGTTGTAAAAGAGCACACTTTTTCTCTGGAGTGTAAAGAAAATTTTGGTGACTTAAGTTCAAATAGAGAAGTCAGCATTAAATTCTCTTTCCCTTATTAGGATACTCTTAACCCGAAAAATGAACACACATTCATAATATGAAATAATTTAGCATTCCATTCCATTATAAACTCTTAGAAAGCGGGTGTTTGTTTCAGAGCTCTAACGTCCTGGTGTTCGCATGGTTCTCGAGGCTCTGCCCGGGTCAGTTTTGGCCCCGAGCGGGAAACTGACGGCCAGGAAGCACGGCTCCCAGCAGAAGCGCGTGCTCAGCACGCCCTGAGCTCGCAGGGGAGCAGGCGGGCAGAGGCCCTTCTGGGCGACAACACAGCGCTGCCGTCTCTCAGCCCATAGCCTCTGCGTCTGCCTGCCGAGTTGCTAGCCCATCAGGCATGGGAGTTTGGGCCTGCGACTCTTTGGCAAATTCTTTCAGCAGGTGAGTCATCTGCCATTAGGCAAATTTTACATTAGGAATCCTTAGAGTCATGAGGACAGGCCAATTTTTCACCCCACTTAACACTGCGCATCCCGCCTGGGAAGCTTACCTTTGGGTCACGAAGGAACAGAGCCTTAAGGATCAGTGAGTGAACGTCCCCGATGAGTGGGTAATGCATCAGAAGGCCAAGACAGGTCTGGTAGTTACTGGAGATCACTAAATAAAAGGGAAAAAGCAATTGAGAAGGGATCCAGTTTCAGGTATCTGTACCGCTAAGAGAAACAAAATAGGTTTCTCTAGGTTTTGAACCTAAAAAACAACTTAGGTTCAAACAAAGTAAATCAGTAACTGCACTGAGTCGGATAAAAGGAAAGGGGAGAAGTGATGTTACCAAACGGCCCCTGGAGCTGCACACTGTGCCGTCCACACAATCTAGCGCACAGGCCACATCCTCGGGGCGATGCTGGACGGAAGAGCCTGAGCTGTGTGTGCGTTTGCAACATAAACTAGGAGCATGCACTTTTATTGCCATATATATGGCTGTATTTAAATGTCTCTACTTCACTGCTTGGAAATTAGAAGCAAAAATCTTATGAATGGGAAAGAACCAGTTTAAAATTCTCATGAAATATTATTTACCATGATTATTATACTTTGCAACTTACACATGTCCCATTTATTTTCTGTATATATAAATATTACACAGTTCAAAATTAAAGAGAATATAACTTCTTCAAATTATTTATTTTTCTAAAGGTAACAAGGAATTTAAGCAAAGATATCTATGCAGCATTTTCTTGGAGGAAGTGTCAAAATCTTCATGGAGAAGCCTATGTTCCTTAGACCGACATTTAGGCTTTTTCCCCCCAATCAACCTCATTACGGCCGCAACTATTAAACAGTCTTTTCCGGCAAGTCTGTGTAAACTGCTCCATTTCTTGGCCACCCATCTGTCCCCGCTGCGCCCATCCACGATGCTGGTTTGGGAGCCAGGCGGACGGCCTCGGCGGCGCGACTGTGAGCAAACTTTACAGCTGCGACTTCCTGTAGTCGCAACTGAAGCCTTTGTGTTCATCAGAACGGTTAATGATTAGTTGAAAAATATTCCACAGGAAAACAACTGTGATTCACTAGGGACAATACAAGTCACAAAATGATGTGTTATGATCAGAAATACCCTTGGTTCCTAGACTTCCTTTTTTTCTTCTTCTGTTGGAAACATCATTGCTTGCGACAGCGTCCCACCCCCTCCCCCTTTCCATGAACATTATGGAGAAAGGAGACAGGACCGGGCAAGATGAATAATTATAATCTATGGAAGGAACCACTTTATCATCTTCATTTCCATTGCTGATCTGACAGTTGGTAATTTCATACATCTGCTTTCATTTGTAAAGTGCTCACTTATCTGACTCTTTCTGTATCTGTTCAGACTCTTCTTTCCTTAGTTGTTCATTTTATCATATTCATACTCAGTTACCTGTTGTCTTTTTTACTGCAGAATTAAAAAACCTAGGATATTTAGAATAGTATAACATTCTCGTGTACAGTTTCCTTTGTGATCAAACAGATACATACAACTTGGATAATCAATTCATTTTATAACTCATATAAAGTCATTTTCCCAAATGCTGTAATGATTATATATTAGTCACTGACCCTAGAAGAATTCTTGTGTATTTTGTGAGACAGGCAGGGGAGTTTAGTGGAAATGGTTCTGGACTCGGGATTCAAAGATGGGGCTCTCCTCCTGGGACTCCACTTGAAAACCTCCCGTAACTGCCTGGAGAGTAAATGACATAATCTAAGGGACTGATTTATAGCAGCTGCTCACAACTTGTTGGGAGCAACCTGTCTGAGCTCAAGTTTAGTCATTCAGAAAACAACTTTCTGATTTGAAAGAAACTTACCTGCCTACCTCACTCATTCCAACAATCATTTGTTGAGTACCTCATCCATGACTGGCCCTATGTTGGGAGGGGAAGCAGAGAGGAAGAAAACGCAGCCCTCACTCCGAAGAAAGTGGAAGCACAGAAGGGCTGATGTCTAACACAGGGAGTTGTTACTGCCGTCACCGCTAAGACAAGAGTGACCTGCTGAGGCTCTGTACCCAAAACCTTACCTGCGTGTTTAATACCTACGACAGTCTAACTACAAGGGTGCAATTATTATCCCTGTTTTTACAGATGAGAAAATTGATCCTTGGAGATGTTAAATCACTTGTCTAGATCACATGGTGATTTGGTGCTGAACCAAGATTTGTATTCAGAAGTCTAGTGGAAGAGTCAGGGTTTTATTTTGAAAGGCCATGTTTTGAAAATCAAATGACACAACAGATGCAAATAATCATTGAAAACAGAAAAGTCAGCTAATATTAGTGCTCCTGTGAGCTGTGCTGTGCTCAGCCACGTCCGACTCTGTGACTCTATGGTCTGTAGCCCACCAGGCCCCTCTCTCCTCAGGATTCTCCAGGCAGAAACGCTGGAGTGGGTACTCTATCCCTTTTCCAGGGGATCTTCCCAACCCAGGTATCAAATTGGGGTCTCCCACGTTACAGGCGGATTCTTTACCAGCTGAGCTACCAGGGAAGCCCACAGTAAGTGTAAATGGCTTGGAAGATCAGCATAACCCAGTCTGTAAAGCATTTTGACACAGGCACTCGTTTGGAGGAACCAGGGCAACAGTCCTATGTTATTACAACTTGAAAAACTTTTGAAACTATGAGAAGTTTTAAAATACATTTTACAAATACAAATACATTTTATAAAATAAGGATGCTAAATAATCTATTAACATTCTTTTTGTATAACAAATGAAGGCACTAAGGTTCCTCCTCCCATTTCTCCCATCCACCCACCCACTCATCCATCTACTGAATGTAACAAACACTTCCCTCAGTTCAGTTCAGTTCAGTCGCTCAGTCATGTCCAACTCTTGCGACCCCATGGACTGCAGCACGCCAGGACTCCCTGTCCATCAGCAACTCCTGGAGTCCACCCAAACCCATGTTTATTGAGTCGGTGATGCCATCCAACCACCTCGTCCTCTGTTGTCCCCTTCTCCTCCTGCCCTCAATCTTTCCCAGCATCAGGGTTTTTTCAAATGAGTCAATTCTTTGCATCAGGTGGCCAAAATATTGGGAGTTTCAGCTTCAGCATCAGTCCTTCCAATGAACACCCAGGACTGATCTCCTTTAGGATGGACTGGTTGGATATCCTTGCAGTCCAAGGGACTCTCAAGAGTCTTCCCCAACACCACAGTTCAAAAGCATTAATTCTTTGGCACTCAGCTTTCTTTATAGTCCAACTCTCACATCCATATAGGACTACTGGAAAAACCATAGCCTTGACTGGACTGAGCTTTGTTAGCAAAGTAATGTTGACCACAGCCTTGTTTAACTCAATGAAACTAAGCCATGCCGTGTGGGGCCACTCAAGACGGATGGGTCATGGTGGAGAGGTCTGACAGAATGTGGTCCACTGGAGAAGGGGATGGCAAATCACTTCAGTATTCTTGCCTTGAGAACCCCATGAACAGTATGAAAAGGCAAAAAGACAGGATACTGAAAGATGAACTCCACAGGTCAGTAGGTGCCCAATATGCTACTGGAGATCAGTGGAGAAATAACTCCGGAAAGAAGGAAGAGATGGAGCCAAAGCAAAAACAACACCCAGTTGTGGATGGGACTGGTGATAAAAGCAAGATTCGATGCTATAAAGAACAATATTGCATAGGAACCTGGAATGTTAGGTCCATGAATCAAGGCAAATTGGAAGTGGTCAAACAGGAGATGGCAAGAGTGAACATCGTCATTCTAGGAATCACCGAACTAAGATGGACTGGAATGGGTGAATTTAACTCAGATGACCATTATATCTACTACTGTGGGCAGGAATCCCTTAAAGAAATAGAGTAGCCGTCATAGTCAATGAAAGAGTCAGAAATGCAGTCCTTGGACGCAATCTCACAAACGACAGAATGATCTCTGTTCGTTTCCAAGGCAAACCATTCAATATCACGGTAATCCAAGCCTATGCCCGGACCAGTAACGCTGAAGAAGCTGAAGTTGAGCGGTTCTATGAAGACCTACAAGACCTTTTAGAACTAACACCCAAAAAGATGTCCTTTTCATTATAGGAGACTGGAACGCAAAATTAGGAAGTCAAGAAACCCCTGGAGTAACAGATAAATTTGGCCTTGGAATACAGATGAAGCAGGGCAAAGGCTGACAGAGTCCTGCCAGAAGACGCGCTGGTCACAGCAAACACTTCCCTCAGCAGCTGCTAACCCCCTGCTTTCAGACGGCATCTCCAATGAAAGAGGAGAGTGAGAAAGCTGGCTTAAAGCTCAGCGTTCAGAAAACTAAGATCATGGCATCCAGTCCCATCACTTCATGGAAAATTGATGGGGAAACAGTGGAAACAGTGTCAGACTTTATTTTTTGGGGCTCCAAAATCACTGCAGATGGTGACTGCTGCCATGAAATTAAAGGACGCTTACTCCTTGGAAGGAAAGTTATGACCAACCTAGACAGCATATTAAAAACCAGAGACATTACTTTGCCAACAAAGGTTCGTCTAGTCAAAGCTATGGTTTTTCCAGTGGTCATGTATGGATGTGAGAGTTGGACTGTGAAGAAAGCTGAGCACCGAAGAATTGATGCTTTTGAACTGTGGTGTTGGAGAAGACTCTTGAGCATCCCTTGGACTGCAAGGAGATCCAACCAGTCCATCCTAAAGGAGATCAGTCCTGGTTGTTCATTGGAAGGACTGATGCTGAAGCTGAAACTCCAGTACTTTGGCCACCTCATGCGAAGAGCTGACTCACTGGAAAAGACCCTGATGCGGGGAAAGATTGACGGCAGGAGGAGAAGGGGACAACAAGAGGATGAGATAGCTGGATGGCATCACCGACTTGATGGACATGAATTTAGGTAAACTCCAGGAGTTGGTGATGGAAAGGGAGGCCTGGCGTGCTGTGGTTCATGGGGTCACAAAGAGTCAGACACGACTGAGTGACTGAACTGAACTGAACTGAACTTACTCATGAAAACTTGTATTTCCAGAGCATTTTTCATTTGTAATTATGTGCCAGACCTGTTGAATAACTAAGGCCAATTTAGCATATGTAAAAGAGAAAAATACAAGCTTTTAACAAGAATAGTAGAGATTTGATAGGATGAAAATTTAGTTTTGATCTTTAAACTTTTCCTGAAC